TTTCAAACCAAACTATGCAGCCAAATATCCAAAACAAATTTACTCAATCAATGATTTCGTGAATTAATTCAAAACTTAATTTATGTATAGGATAGGGCATTGAAAGTAGTGAGTTCTGAGAGATTTTTATTTGATGTTGCTTTATGTTAAAATTAGTAGATAAATGTAACAAAAAGGTAAAATCTGGATAAGACTAAAAATTTAAGGTAAACATGGATTAATCCTTGCAAAGTGATGGTAAGAGCTGAACTTTTTCCTTCTTTTAAAAAATAACCTTTAGTTTTAAGGAAAAGAAAGCGTTACAACCAAATGAAACTAAAAATGTTTATGATTCAATTCAAGATTGGCCAATATGAGCAAAACAAATAATAATAATTATGGAAAGTTTCAAATTGACTGATTTCAGCATGCACCATAAAGTTCCTGCTTGGGAATCTTTATAGACTATCTAATGGTTATATTAAGTATTTGCAATGCCTTAATTACATGATAACTAAATATTATTTTTTGTTTCTTACTTATATATATATATATATATATATATAATTTATCTTCTATTTTTTTAACTCTGGCTTTAACTTATTCATTAGAAATCATTAACATCAAAGTGCAAGCCTTATTGAAGAAAATGAAATTTCTTTTTTTCATTTTAGAAAAAGAAAGAACTACTAAATGGAAAATCTACTTGGACTTACCAGGAAAATGAAATCAAATCAGAAAATTATGAAATGGGATATTAAAGCGTGGAGACACTTGATAACAAAGTAGAAGCTTTCAAGCAATGGCAGAACCCAAAAAAAAAAAACCTCAACGGCTAAGAATGATTTTTTACTCTATTGGTCACTATTCTGTAGAATCTCTCACTATAACTTCAAGAAGGAAAAAACTTGGACAGAACAAATCAACATATACATTACTTTGTTAAATTTCTCATCACTTAAAAAAGCAAATTTATACCCTTTTCGAGGGGGAAAAAATTAGGTCAATGCAACTATGAAACCGAAAAATCGATGCCACTCCACCTCTCAGATCTTAAAATTCATAATCTTTTCAACTGAGAGCATGCAAGGCAGATTAATTGTCAGTATTTGGATGAACAGTGGGAAGAATTTGATGATACTCTTATCAGCAAACAGGCAGTCCAACCACAATCTTATCAAAATTTTAGACCATGATTTTCTTGCCTTTACCTCCCACATGCTTCTTCTGTCTAGAAGGAGCATCAGTGCCAGCAGCAGGGACCAGTGGACCAGACCAGGCTTGGACTGGATCCTTTGAATAAGTAAACAGAGTTGAGCTGAATGGTATGTCGGGAGGAACACCGGACGGGTCAATATGACGTGAATATCCTAGCGTAAAGCCGAGAGCTCCATCTTGGTGTGGTGGGGGGAACTTTTCGCTCTTGCTCTTTGCATTTGCATGTGTAATTAAGCGTCTTCTCTGTTTCAATGCACGGCAATTTCAAAAGTTTTAACGCTCCATAAATAAGGAAATGCAATTCTGTTAGTGTCTAGCTGGTCAATGATTTTGAACTAAGCAAAGTAATAATTACGTCGATATTTGTTTGTAGCTCGGCATTGGCTTCAGGAGCTGGAAGAGCCCTGACACGTGCACGTGTTTTCTTCGTTCCATCTCCCTGGGGTTTACTAGCTGCTCTAAGCCTGCATAACCGATTAGAATTATGATTATTAACAAAAGCACCAAATAGCACTCTCAAAGCAAGTTCGCAGGACTAAGAGTAATAACAGCAGCCATTTCAAACTGTCAACAAAGATGTACAGTAGAAATAAAAGGTGTAGAACTCAACAGAATTAGAGAACAAGGATGTCTAAAGATTTCTAAGTATTTTTCCTTTTTATAAGAAATAATTTCATTTATGGTATGAATTTCAACAAAATTTGATGATAATAAATAATTTCAAGGATGTCTGAACTCCATTTTTTTTTTTTCAAATGATCAGTTTGGTTCATAAGGATTTTGCACTTGTTCCTTCCGCCAAAGAACCTAAAAAGAAGGCCAAGAAGGCAAGGGGAGTCAAAAGCTCTAGGGAAGATCTGCACGATCCAAGCAATGTCAAAAGTTCTGAGAATGTAAAGACCAAATCCTGCCTGCAACCGTGTTAGACAAAAACAGATGGTTCATAAAATACACCAGAAGTGCCGTAGTTGGATGCCTAGAATGGATCCTATTAGCGGTGTTCAAGCAAGCATCCCATGACTAGTGACCAGTGAATTGTGAAATATTTTGCATTTGTTAGAGGTGGATTTGGCCTGGAGAACATCTCTCCAGAGGCTTGGGGATAAATGAAAAGTCTACAGATCCACTTAAATAAGCGGGCTTTGTTTCTTATGTTGTAGTAATGTTGAGACGTCCATTAGAGGTTGGCAGGGAAAAGACTTTCCAATTAACTAAGTGAGCTCTCCCTTCTTTATTTGAACCTTCCCATGTATAATTTCAGGTAATTCTATCATTGGATTTACAAACCTTGGCTGACACAGGGAAAGCAGAGAAATAGTAGGTGAGGAGATTTGAAAGCACTGGTTATAAGAGAGTGAGTCTCCCCCTGGAGCATAATCAATTCTATCTATTAAGCCTCGTGGCTATCTTCTAAAGGGTCCCAACACATGCGTAAGATTGATACCTACTAACACATATTTGCCAATATTATTATTATTTATTTATTTATTTTATAACTGGGATGCTTCCCTGTACTCAAGGGCACCCGCATCTGCCTCAAGGCCCGAACCCAAGAGACATAAAAGATTTTTGATATTAAGCTCGTGAAAAAGTTCAAACTTGGGACCTCTAAGTTGATATGACTAAGAGACCCCAAGTCTTTGCCAACCAAACTGCCCTTTGGGGGCTATTAATTTTAAGATCCAAGGATGCATCAACCACTCTAATCATGAGAAGTTACTTCACTTTTTGTTTGTCTTCCACATACAAAATCAGCAGGCAGCATGTCAGTTGCAAATTTAGATTAGCAATTTGAACCTATGAGCCACACACTAAATCCGTCGATTGAGCAATCATTCAAATACTTTTCCACAAGTCTACTAAAGCAGTCAGCAACAAGCATAAATAGGAAGAGGAATAGGAGGTTGCCTTGTCGATTTCCTCTCTCAGACTTAAGTTTACCTTTCGGCCTTCCATTAATGAAATTTTAATAAGAGGATGAGGAAAAGCAACCCTGAATCCGTGTTCTCCAAGTCAAACTGAAGACTTTAACCTCAAACACCTTATTGATAAGAGTCCAACTAACTTTATCGAAGGTCTTTTCAGTGTCTAATAAATTTTTGAGTTCCACTAATTTGGGAGTTGAAGTACACTGATAATATGTCAGAAGTGGGATTTGAACCCACTTCAGTGTCTAATAAATTGACGAAGCCTCTTTACTTCCTTAGCAATAAGGATAGGATATGAGATGAGATCTATCTCCCTACATCGAAAGCAGATCAGGTGTCTTGTCTTCTAGCACATCTTTGAACCTTTTGCAAAGGTTTTAGATAGAATCTAACAGACTAAAGTAGTCAAGCTGATAAGCCTATAATCCTTGACTTTGGAAGCTAGGCATTTCTTGGATTTGGTCAATAGAAGTTTCATTAACAGAGGCATTGGCTATGCCATTCCGGAAAAAGTCTTTGGAAAATTTCCATGATGTCAAACTGAGAATGTTCCAACCCTTTTTAGAAAAATCTGTAGTGAAGCCGTCTAGACCAGGAGGCTTGTTATTTGCCTAAATTGTCAACAGCCAACTTGACTTCCTCAATGTTGAAGGGTCTCTCCGTGGATACATGCAAGATATAGGGGACCGTTGAGTTTTGAAGGTCTCCCAGATCTTCACTAAGCATGTGGGAGATAGGGAACCATTGAGTTTAGAAGGGAACCTGTATACCTTCCTTTATTTATTTATTTTTGTTTTTTTATAACCTGTAATCAACAGCTCTTTGGCTTTCTGCCCCTATAACCCAGGGCACCCATGTCTGCCTGAAGGCCCGGACTTGAGAGATATCAAGATTTTTTGGTATTAAACTTACCCAAAGATTCAAACAAAAGACTTCATGGTAGGTGATACCACAAGGCCCCATACTCTTGCCAATGGAGCTGCCCTTTGGGTTTTGGACTTCCAAAGAGGAGAGTTTTTGATGTAATCCACAAATTCATTTTCAATGTTTGATTCTTTAAGACAATATCTCTGATATTAATAGTTTCCATAATACGCTTTTTCTGCTTACTTGTCGGGCATACCCATGGAAGAGTATTGTGTCTCCATCAAGGTTACATCTCAACTTACATTTTTTGGGCCCATTTCTATGCTCTTTCAATACAATCCCTTGAAGAGCAATTAAGTTGGATTTCCTGGACCTTCTGTCCTCTTCAGTGGTGAGATTTGAAGTTTCCTGGTGTCAAAGAATCTAATTTTCAAAAGGAGCTCACTTTTCTAGGTTTGGACAAATCTAAAGACTTCTCTGTTCAATACTTTTTATCTTCTCTTTGACCTCTTTTAGTTGCGTCATAAAGGGGCTGTCCCTATAGAAAAGTGCCCAGGACAGCCTTCACAAAGGCTTAGGAAGTTGTGGTGATCCAGCCAACAATTTTCAAGTGGAATGGCACGCACCTAAAGTTGAAAGTTAAAAGACATAATTGAAATCTTTTAAAGTTCAAAGACTAACTAAACACAACCATAAAAGTTTATGGACTAAATTTGTAATTGAACCAAAAGAAAAATGAAGAAAATTGATTTTTATTCTAATAAGATCCTATCTTTAATATCATTACTTAAATGTTAATTTGACATACTGATTGAACTAACAAATGATGATTTAGTATGATGTGGCATAATGGAGTAAGCAACTTGGACAAAGTATGGATAGATGAACCAACCAATTCAGCTTAAAATATAAGTTACCCACTTGCTCCATTGAATTCTAGCCCCCCACATACCGGACCCTACTCCCTTGTTCCATTTCATGCCAAATGATCACTTCTTAGTCAAACCCACACATCACATCAACATTTTAGTAATGGTGTCAACAGAAGAAACTTGTTACAATCAAAATTGAAAATTCTGGGGCATAGTTGAACCATTTAAACTTCAAGAAGTAAATAAACAGAATTATAAAAATTCAGGTATTAAACTTGTAATTTAACCAAAAATGAAAACAGAAAGGATGGTTATCTTCAGCTCCTTTACCAAGTAACACGCCATTTGTATTATAATGGCCAAACCTTTGAGAAGAAAAAACCATCTACTAGGGAAATTATCCAAACACCATTGCAAGTACCTTGTCCAAATTTCTCAATAGCTCCCAAAATAAAGCAGATATGTATTGAGGTGAAACTAAAAATCAAGGCATCCATACCTCCGAGCTTCATCATCCCGCCTTCTAGCATCCATCTCCTTACTGGGAGGATATTTTGGGAGGCTAGAGGGTTTGCAAGCTAAAGGTTCTGTCATGAAGAACTGTATTCCAATGGACAAAGTTTGAAAGATATACAAGAAAGAGGGCATAATTCTCATTATGGTAGTCTAAAATAATTTAAAATGTAAAATATGTAATGCATCCAAACGATAGTCTCCATGATTAAAGCTACCTCAAAGGCGAGGTAAAAATAAGCCTAGAAGCTTAAATTGGAAAGAATAAAAAACTACAATATTTATAATAAAGTACCAAATTAAGAGACAAGGTATAGGCCAAAATAGACATGGGAGAGTGAACTCAATTTTCAATGTGATTTTTCATTGAGAAAAAATTAAAGAATATAAGGGGAATACAAAAAACCAACCCCAAAAAGGAGCCAAACTAAAACAAAAGAGGGCTCCAATCATGCAAAATAAGGCCCAAGAGTAATTACAAAAATCCTTGCACGCCTACCCAAAGGGAAACATGAAATCTGATAAGGGATCAAATCTCCTCCCAATGTCTCTCCACCCCTCTAAAAAATCTATTGTTACTCTTAAGTCTCAACCCAAATGCCCCAAAAAATAGCACAAAAGCCAGCAAGCCACAAAAAATGACGGTGAAGAAGAAACTGCTAAATCGTAGATATGCACCATCTAGGCCGAGCCAGAATGAGGTCGAATGACTCCAAAAAACAGCTCCAAATCGACTACGCAGCCCCACCGGAGTGATCAAGATCCTTGGCTGCCTCTTGCAAAGGATACAACACTAGGCCCAACCAACCTAGACGACTTCCCCAAACCCCAATCCATAGTATTAACTCTACGGTGAAGGACCTATCACACAACATCTATAGACCTCTTTGAAATTTTCCACATCAAAGAAAAAACAAAGACGTTAGGAGAAGGGGCACTCACAATATAACTAATAAAGGACCTACAAGAAAACCCTTCAAAAGTACTAGGTTCCCAGGTACAAAATCCCTTCTTCCTGAATTAAAAGTGAAGTTCCCAAGCAAAGATAAATGGCAATATCCGTCATGTCCATATTCGACAAAGGATGGTGAAACCCAAAATAGCTTTCCACAAGTTCCTAGATGTGCCTTTTGAACCCCAACTCGTGATACACTCAAAAGGATAAGGTCCATATTAACTCACAATCATCTTGTGCCAAAGGGTATCAACTCCGAGAGAAGCGCCACAACCACTTAGTAAACAAGGCCTTGTTATGCACCCTTAAATTACCTATGCCTAGAAAAACTAGCTCCAACAGCTTAGACACCACTTCCCATTTAACTAGGTGAGATCCCTTCCTCTTCTCAACCACATCCCTAAGAAATCTCTCATGAACTTCTCCAAAGATTTACTAACCACTACAGGGACCCTGGACAAAGAGAGGAAATAAGTCAGAATCCTGCTCAACATGGATTGGACCCAAGTGAGTCAGCCTCCCTTTGATAAATAGCTTCTCTTCCACGAGGTAAGGCATTTCTAGACCTTCTCCATAACTGGATCCCAAAAAGTCAAGCTTCTAGGATTATGGCCAGAGGAAAATCCAAATAGGAAGTAGGGAAGGAACCTACCTCACAACCCACTAAGTACGCCCACCTTCACAGCTTAGAAAAGTCACAATTAATGCCCAAAACCTCAATATTCAATGCATTATGATCCTCAAGTAAATTTCAAGTGCGAATAGCGCACTCAGGACCAAAAGACAAGAACAAGCACACTTGGATACAACGATAACCGTCGGGCCACAATATGAAATAGCAATTTTTGACATTTACTTTAACAATGAAAATTCCACATACATTTACAAAAAATTATTATCCTATACAACATGTTCAGTTATGTATAAAATTGAAATAGTACAGTTTTAAGTTTTCTTTATAAATTCAATGGATCTTTTTTCTTTAAGCTTTCTATTAATCACTGAAGTTTTGTGACCTTAAACTTGGAATCACAACATAAAAAATATATAATATACTTAAGTTATGGGTTATTAGCTAGCTATGTATGATATGATGAAGTTAGTTTTCTATTACGATCACTATGTAAAATCAATTGGTATTATTGGTCTTCGCTCTAAAAAAAATAAAGGCTAAATAGTAAATATACAAGATGGTCCCTAATCTTTGTGGTGGAATTGAATTGTGTCTTCCTAGAGTTTAGTAGGTAGGCACAACTTTTGTGAAGTGAGGCTCCAGCTTTCTTTCTCACGGTTGGGCCTTCCTATGAGTCACGGTTGGGCCTTCCTATGAGTCATAATCCTAGAAAGGCTTTCTATCTAGAATCCTGCAAAGCACAAGATTCAGAAGCACTTTTTTTCTTAAAATATAACATATTTTTCAAAAAGGGATAGGCTTAGCTTGATTCAGTCTCTCTTGAATGAGATAAGACCCATTCTGTTTCCTATCCTTTTTTAGAATTCCCTTCTTGTTAATGCCAAACTAGACAAAATTGTGAACGTCAACGTCCTTTTTGTTGGAAGGGATGGGGAAGGAGCTGAATTTCATATAGTTAAGTGGAAATCAGTTTCAAGAGTCTATGAGGAGAGTGGTTTTGAGATTGGGAACTTAGCAATGAAAATATTGTTTTCGACTGGATGGTCAGGGTGGTTTTCCCTCAAAACTAGGTATTATGTTTTATGTCACAAGATTATTATGCGTACAGGCATCACAACAGTTAGGACTCTAATAGGAATGACCTTTATAGGTAATTAAGGTTATTAGTAGAATAGTAAGAGTAAGTAAGTAATTAGATAAGGAAGTTATTAGGGAGAGTAAGTAATTAGATAAGGAAGTTATTAGGGAGAGTAAGTAATTAGATAAGGAAGTTATTAGGGAGAGTTGTTATAAATAGAGTGACAAAAAAATGATGAAGGTATGCACTTGTCATAGTGTGGTTTAGGCTTGAGTGATCTCAAAGCAGGAGGGTCCAAGTACCTCAAATGATTTGGAGATTATCGCAATATTTTTATCCTTTTTAACTTTCAAACTATTTTAGCTATTTGGTTCTTACCCCCATTTTCTCAGGTTTGTTTTGGGGATGGGACTCTGTGACCATTTTGGAGAAAATCATTGGTTTAGCAACAAAAAATGCCTATATAGCCTCTGTGATTTCCTTTTCCTAAAGGTCCCTTCCACATGATTTTCAACTCATGAGAACCCTTTCTATTATGGAGGCAATTGACATGTCCGTTCTTTCGTCCATTGTTCAAGGAGTTGATTTATTTCCCGGATCTAAGGATAAACGATTTGGTTTTGTGAATTTTTCTGTAAATCTTCCTCTCTGTCTCCCCCCTAACTGGCTTCTTTGTCATCCGACCAGCTGTGTAGAAGGTTCACATTTTCTCCTTGCTTGTAGTGCTCGGGGGATGTAATACCATGAATTTTTGCCACCCTAAGGTCCTCCACTCTAGTTCATGGCTCCAATTGGCATGCTCTTTGCAAACAAGAATATGAGCATTTGGTTCACATTCTTTAAAGGTAGGTTTTTGCAAGCTTTTGGGAAGATGTTCCCAAGCCGACACGTGTCGTTATATGATGGAGGAAGTCTTTTTACATCCTCTCTTTCAACGGAGGCAGACTTGCTTGGCAGGATGGCCTTTCTGGAAGGTAAAGATCCCAAAGATGCATTCAGTGTGATTCTGGAAGATAATACCATCTTTGGGATCTTTACCTTCCAAAGACACGTTTCCTCGTTTGTACTATGAGAGGAGAGGTGCATTCAGTGTCCTCTTTTATGCCTTCCTTAGCTTTTTCTTCCTTTTATTTGGGCTTTCATTATCCTTCGTTGGAGAGGGAGATTATGTAAGTGGTAGCCCTTCTTTTTCTCTTGGGTAACTCTCAGTTGTGTCCGAGGAGGAGGGACATCCATTTTCTGATCCCCAATCCTTTGGGTGTTTCTCTTGCAACTCTTTGTTCTATGATGGACAAAAGGGCACATAATACCTAGAACAAAGAGTTGCAAGAGAAACCCCCGAAGGATTGGGATCGAAAAATGGATGTCCCTCCTCCTCGAACACAACTGAGAGTTAACCCAAGAGCAAAAGAAGGGCTACCACTTCCATCATCTCCCTCTCCAACGAAGGATAATGAAAGCCCAAATAAAAGAAAGAAAAATCTAAGGAAGGCATAAAAGAGGACACTGAATGTACCTCTACTCTCAGAGTGCAAACAAGGAAATATAGCACAAAGAGATTCATCACCCACCCAACAATCCTCCCAAAAGTAAATACCGGAGCTTTTCCCGATAGAACATTTCACAAATTGAGAGAAGAAAGGAAAACCCAATGATCTAGCATTCTAGGGATTTTTAGAATAACCATTAGACCCATCGACCGAACCCTGGTATCTTTATAAAATGTGGACTATATCCTCCATTGTGCACTTACCAAGAAGCATATTACTAAGCACCAAAAACCATGGATGAAGATGCCTAGACAAAATCAATAGAGTCAATCCTCCATAAACATCCAGACTCAATGACCTGTGAAATATTATACAAACGAACAAAAGGATCCTCCCTCAAAAAGTACAAGATAGTGTCATCAACGAATTGTAGGTAGGTCAAATGGACATCAAATCTCCCTATATATGAAAAAAAGCATTCAAGAAAACCTAGTAAGAACATCCACCACCTGTAAAAGAGGAGACAAAAGGTCACCATAACTAGTGCCTCTAGAAACTAAGACCGTACCCCTAAATTTTCAAGCATCCAGAACAAAGGAATTCAGAAATGCAAACAATTTCACAACCAATGTTTCATTTTTCCACAACACCTTTGCCAAAAGGAGATAATCAATAATATGATCATACATCTAATACCTCCCTTCTTACCAGCCTCTTCAGTAGCCACAATAGCACTAAAAACCTTGTCAAGAACTTGCCTCCCAGCAACTAAGGAACCCTTATTTATAGAGATGGTACTAGATAACACCTTCCTCATTCTACAGTAAGGGCTTAGCAATGACACAAGCTGGTAACCAAACTAATGGGTAAAAAATCCTTCACCAGACATTCAGGAAACAAATAAATGTAAATCTTATTCACAGTCAAATCAATGAAGTCCCTTTTCACAAAATTCATTCAACACCTTGGAGGATCTTCCTTAATAACATCCTATATTTTCATGCAAATAATGAGACATAGATTCCTCGTTTCTCCATGATATAAAGGGACACAGTAGGATGTCTTGTGAATGAAACCACAACAGAAAAGGCAAAGGAAGCAACAACATTAGGTTTGAATGATATAGTGGGAAGATTGAGATCTATAATGAATGAAACCACATCAATTGAATCAGAAAAATGAAAGAAGTGAAAGTCAAAACCAAGATGTATTCTGATAATTAATTGAGAAGTTCGTATCTTGTTAAAAAAAATAATAAAATAAAAAAAATTTAGCTGACCTCGCTATTTAATACATCTGTTGCCGTCTTTCGTTCTACTGGATCAATTGCAAGAAGCGTTTCTATAAGGGGTAGTGACGATGGCGGGAAATCTTTAAATGTCTCCCTTATACATCTTTTATAAGGATCTCTGGGCTTAAATAAGGTTGCATTTGGCAGTTTTGCTCTTTTCCAATATTCATCTGAAGGGGAACCACAAAGCTTATATATCTTGTGCAGTTGCTCTACCTGGGGTGGGCAAAAAGGAAATTAGCAGGCACAGCATGTGTAAGCAATATCTTATGTGTAACAGTAAACAGCAGAGGATGCTAGAAAGGTTTAGTTAAGCAAAGAAGAGAACAACCTATACTACAGTCTACAGGGTTCTTGAACCATTTCGAAACATTTAACTATGATGAAAATAGGTGATAAAAGTTCCATATTTGAAACATTTCATCTAAAAATTAAAATGCTAGTATAGTTAGTAGCCAAAGCTACGGATGCATGTATATGTCAACAAAATTCAACACTGTAAAGAAAAACACCTATAGTTGTAAAATTTGCAACTGAGACACTGAAAAGCTCGCACATATATAAAGGGACCTTATCAGTAAACCAAAGCCAATATGATGCTAGTAACAGTATCATATACCTTAAAAGAAAGCTACAAGCACAAAAAGAAGAAATCCTATCACCAAATCAAAGCCGATGATGATATTAATGGTATCATGCCATACACGATAAAGCAAGCTACAACAACTTTACCCAAAAAATACAAAGTAAAAATGAAGACTGGAGATAAAATGCCACATGAAAGGTATATTATTCATATTTTGCCCAATAGTAAATCGTGCTTTCCCATGAGATTCACACGGTGATGGCACTGACTCAACATCTTAGATTAATTGCAATATTGTAGGGTCACTGAGAGTCACAATTGCACTAAAGATAGTTATAACAATGGGTATGATTAATGAGTTATGGAAATCAACACATGCTTGCAACTCTTGGAAGTGAATGAAAATACTTTATCCAACTAGTTGCTACAGAGGTAGTAATTTAGTTGGGTTTCATCCTTTAGAAAAGCAGTAGTGTAAAAAGAATATTTCAATAAGTCATATCTTGACATTCAGACTGTGGCACTTCATTCTTTAGTTTCCGATTTATGCTAGTTTTGAACTTTTCAAACATTCATTTATCTAAAATTAACAGTGTGGAAGATGGGCTTCCATCATTACTCCTTTTCATGTACATGCTTGAACTTCATTACAATTACTTCAATTTGCATGGTGTCTCCCAAGAGGGTGGAAGATGGACTTTTAGAATTGATCTGAATTTTCAGGTTCGTGGTCAAGGAATAAAGCCAAAGTACTATGGATCAATGCGTGTAGGCCTCATTTTTGGCTCATTTTGGAAATAGAGGAATTCCATAGCCTTCTCAGATAAATTCGATTCTTTTCATAACTTTTGCAGTCGTGTACAATATACAGCCTCCAATTGGAGTGCTATTCACAAATATTTTTTGTAATACTCCCTCTTTTATTAGCAACTTATACTAGAGGCCTTTTGTTTGACTTATCCTCTTAGGCTGAATTTATACATATCTCTGTTTCTTTAATATATAAATTAGGGTGTTTGTCAAAAGAGAGTTGCTTAGATACTCTAGTCTTGTGATTCTTGAAATTTAGATAAAGCAAGATTGAGCTGCTAACATATTTTTATTTCGTGATTCTTGTAGTTTAGAGTGTCACAACAACAAAGAGATCATTGCATGATGCATCCTAAGAAAAAAACCATCAGACGACCAGGATGGAGTTTGTTTGAGGTCCGTAATAAGGACTGTGGAGCTATGTTGGAGGAAATACTTTTGTTCCCTCCTTTCCGTGAAAAAGGAGTTTTTAGTGGCAGGCCTGTTTCTTTGCTATCTTGTGGGGGATTTGGATTGAGAGAAGTAATAGAATCTTTAGATGGTGGAGAGAGATGGAGAGCCTATTTGGGATGTCATTAGATTTAATGACTTTTTATGGGGTCCATTTCAAAATTGTTTTGTAATTATCAGTTAGACTTTATTCTTTTGGATTGGAGACCCTCTATTTAGATAGAGTTCTTCCTTGCAGGCTAGTTTTATTTTCATTTGCCTGAATGAAAAGCTCGGTTTCTTATAAAAAAAAAAATATATATATATATATATATTATTCTTTACTACAAACACAAATTAATTACTAATACTTTCATTAATTTAAAACTACATAGTTCTAATTGCAATACAAAATATGGAACCTAGGTATCCTGAAAGTTATAAGATAAAACAAGAACATAATGAAATTCTTTGTACGTCCATGAAAAATAGAGCTTAGATATAGAAATTCTAGCCAATGAAGATTAGAACTCGAACATGTTACTATTCAGGAAATATCCACATGAATGCCAAACCAAATGTACTAGCAAATTTACTACACTTATTACATGCTGAAAATGTAGCACAACATGTGAAGCTAGACAAAGGTAAGCAATTACCTCTGTGCGGCCAGGCATAATAGGTCTCCCAGCTAATAACTCAGCCAATATACAGCCAGCACTCCAGAGGTCTACACCAACTCCATAATCAGTTGCTCCAAGAAGAAGTTCAGGAGGTCGATACCATAAGGTAACTACCCGACTAGTCATAGGGTGCTTGTGATTTGGATCAAAGAAAGAAGCCAACCCAAAGTCAGCAATCTTAAGCACTCCTCCACTATCAATGAGAAGATTAGATCCTTTAATGTCACGGTGAAGCACCCGACGGTTGTGACAGTGTTCCAGTCCAGATAGCAGTTGTTGCATGAAACATTTTACCTAAAATTGGCATGTGTTCACCATTCACCAAAAGTATTATTGTCCTGCTTATAACTTTTTGAAACAACTACATCGATGCTCAATTTGGATAAATGTAACTATAAGCTAACCTGAGATTCTGTAAATTTTATTGATGGATTTGCAGCAAGACCAGCTAGATCATGCTCCATGTACTCAAAAACCAGGTATAAACTACAAGACATCCGTGATGTAACCAACCCCTCCAACTTCACAACATTTTGATGATTTAATCTCCTAAGGATGAGAATCTCTCTAGCCATAAATTTAACACTTTCAGGTTCCAGATTGTCAAATCGAACCTTCTTCAGTGCAACAATTTTACCTGTAAGTATATCTTTAGCTTTATACACATTGCTATACGTTCCTTGTCCAATCTAACACCAAAAAAATTTACGTTAGAAGCATGTAATTAGAGGAGGAAAAACAAAAGAACAAAAGCAAGAATGCACTACGGGAGGAGTAGAAATCAGCCAACGCTGAGTTATGTAAGTGCATTCCACATGAAGTTGACCAAATTGCGATATAGATTCTACACTTACTTTCATTTCATCACACCAGGCCAAGTTGTACCTATTAAGAGTTTAATATAATAAAAGTAATCTCAATAGAAATAACATTTCAATTTTCATCCATTGAATAACAAAAGCTCCTACTATTCATCACGACACATGAAGATCCTATTTTAGAACAGTAAAATTCAAACTGCAACTGCACCTAATGTTACTTAATGGATAGCCCACCTTATCAATCTTTTCAAATGTATCAGCCTTTCGAGGAATCCAACCATTGAGAGCCTCCCCACAAACGGTCGTGAGCCAAGATGGCCACCCGGCAGCAACTTGCTCTCCCTGGGAATGGTTTGGCAAGTTACTCGGCCTCGGAACCTTCCTTGACTTTCTCCGCTCCCTGCGTGAGCGATCCTGCCCCCCATCAGCCTGCTGCTCCTCCTCCTTACTTTCCTCTACATTAGCATTTACATGCTCTACTTCTTTTTCCTGAACACCGTCGACCCGGACATGAGACTCGGTAATTTGATTCCTCTTCCCCTTATCTACAGGGGCCTCTACACTTCTTGAAGTTGCCTCACGGCTAATGAAACACCCCATTTCTCAATTCTAAACGTCATCTCCCACCATAGCAACCAATAGAAGCACTTCAATCACCGATTTTCTCACTACAAATCCAGCAAAATAGTAGGCATAAATTGCTAAGCAAATCAACAAATTGGAAAAAAAAAAAAAAAAAACCCAAAAGAAAGCGGCGTAAGATGATAGAGAATACCGAGTACAAGGAAGCAAGAAAATCCCATCAAAGAAAACGACCGATTGAAAGCAGAAGTAGGCAATTCAGAGCTCAAACGACGGGGAATTGGGGAGAATAGACTGGGGAGGGAGAACTGATCTGGAGGCAAAGAGCAGCCATGAGAGTGAAAGAGAGAGAAAATATGGGAATTAGGCGCAAATCTGAGTGGAGGTGGAGGAGAGAGAGTGGGAGAGAGAAAACTTGGAATTTTGGAGTGATGAATTAATCTGGGCTTTCTGTGGGTTCTTCAGTGCCTGTATGTCTGCGAGAAAGTGGAAAGAGCCAATGGGAATAGGGAAGATCTGCTTGGTGTTCAGAAAGTCAGCTTGAAATCCAAATCTGGAATTTCTCTCTCTACACCAAAATTGAGCTTGTTTAGATCCTTAATCCCTAAAATGGTGGGTATTGATTAATCTTAGCTGGTTTGGTATGCAATTATGATTCACTATAAATTTGTCACCATGAACTTAGCTCGATGCTTAATGTACCTCACTTATCTTCTTAGAAGTTCGTTCTCATCCTCACATTTCTTATACTAAAAAAATCTAATAAACTCATTATATTTTCAAGGTTTTAAATGTCGAGTTCTTAATTTAAAGAATGTCAATGTCGATCCATATTTTTGAAAAAGTTATAAAATTAAAAAATTCGTGAAAATTATTTAAATACGTTGCAATTAAGTATTTCTCCATTTATAAATAAATTTAAAATAATTAATATAAATATTATTGTTGTGAAATTGGAGGCAAGAGTAGGCACTTGAAGCAAACTAATAATAAAAAAAATAATATCGAAATAAAATAGTGAGAAAATATAGAAGTAGAATTATATTGCTCTTGAATTTTCTTCAATCCTATTACATATTTGATACTCCTTATGTACTGCCACACATTGGCTTTTATAGTCAATTTGGACTTGTACAACAAGCCGTGGTACTTACCAAACTTAAATTCTTGGGGAAGAAACTCTTGAGCTCGGGGAAGAAGTTTGGTTTGGTTTGATGAGTAAGAATGGGCATCTAAACTTAATATTATAATATATAATACTTCCCTTAGATGCCTATTATATGCTATATGTCTCGTTAAAACCTTACTACGAAAAAATCTAATGGGAAAAATCCTAGTGAAGGAAAAAGAGTACATATTTCATATAATTTTAATAAACCCAAAAGCATTACAATATATTTGCTCCCCCTAATGGAAAAACATTACTTAAGATCTCTGAGTCGCCGCATTCCAATGTCGTGCACCAATTTTTCAAATGTTGCAGTAGGTGAAACCTTTGTAAACGAGTCTGCCAGGTTATCTCTGGAGCAAATTTGATTTATGGTGATGTCATCATTTTCTTCCAAATCATGAGTACAGAAAAGTTTAGGTCAAATATGCTTTATTTTATCCCTTTAATATATCCTTCTTTGATTTGAGCTATACATGCTGTGTTGTGTTCGTATAGTATTGTTGAAAGATTTTTAGAAGACAAGCCACACGTTCCACGAATGTTCTGAGTCATTGATCTTAACGATACACATTCTCGACTAGCCTCATGAATTGCAAGAATTTCAGCACGATTTGGAGAGGTGGCTGTTATGGTATGTTTCACTAATCGTCATGATATAGCAGTTTCTCCACATGTGAATAAATAACCTGTTTGAGATCTAGCTTTGTGTGTGTCAGATAAATATCCAGCAACTGCATAACCAACTAGATCACAATTTGATTTGTTAGAATAAAACAAGCTCATATCAATTGTTCCTCGAAGATAACAGAATATATGCTTAATTCAATTCCAATGTCTTATTGTTGGTGAAGAACTATATCTAGCTAATAAGTTTACTAAAAATGCTATATCTGATCTTGTATTATTAACAAGATACATAAGTGCACCAATTGCAATAAAATATGGTACTTCAGGACCAACAATTTCTTCATTATCTTCTCGATGTTGAAATATCTCCTTCTTCACATCAAGTAAACGAACTTCCATCGGAATGTTCAATGGATGTGATTTGTCCAAATAAAACTTTCTTAAAACTTTTCCAGTATAGATTGATTAATGAACAAATATCTCATCTACTAAATGCTCAATTTGCAAGCCAAGGCAAAATTTTGTTTTTCTGTGATCTTTCATCTCAAATTCTTTCTTAAGATATTCTATTGCCTTTGAAAGTTCTTCATGACTTCCAATTATATTCAAGTCATCAACATATACAGTTATAATAGGAAATCCTGACTGTGATTTCTTTATAAAAACACAATGACAAATTTGATTATTTGATATCGTCCATCTTTCAACAAATACCCACTCAGACAATTGTACCACATTCATCCTAATTCTTTTAATCCATATAATGATCTTTGTAACTTTATTGAATACAGTTCTCTAGAACTTTGATTATACGTTTCAAGTACCTTAAATCCTTTAGGGAATTTCATATAAATATCATTATCAAGATATCCATATAAATATGTTGTTACTAATCCATAAGATACATGTCCAAATTTTCATACACAGTCAGACCAATTAAATATCTTAGTGTAATTGCATCCACCACTGGAGAATGTGTCTTCTCATAATCAATATCAGGTCTTTACGAGAAACCTTGTGTAATCAGTTTTGCCTTATATCTTGTGACCTTATTGTTTTCATTTCTTTTTCTTACAAATACCCATTTATATCCTACAGGCTAAATGCCTCCTGGTGTTCGGACTACTGGTCCAAAGACTTGACGTTTTGAAAGTGGGTTTAATTCTACCTAGATTGCTTCTTTTAACTTAAGCCAATCTTTTCTTTGTCGACATTCTTCGACAGGTTTTGGTTCAAAATCCTCATTTTCATATACAATGTCAAGAGTAACATTATAAGCAAAATGTTGTTAATAACTACATTAGCTCGGTTCCATATTTTTCCTGTAATGACATAGTTTATTGAGATCTTATTATTATCCTCAGATACTTTGATCTTTCTCAATATCTTTATGAGTATTCATGTTTAGGATTTTTTCTGGAATATCCACATATGTATCATTCTCAATTAAGTCATTTCGATTATTGACTACTTTTCTTTCTTTAGAATTTTTATCTTTGGAACTCATTGGTCTACCACACTTTTGGCGTGTCGCAGACTCATTAGTTATAACAACTTGCTGTGTTGGGATATCAATTTTCGATGGAGCATTTGCAGTTGGTATATATGACTTGGTCACTTTCTTAGCATCTATAAATGCATCCGGTAATTGATTTGCTATATTTTGCAAATGAATTTTCTTCTAAACTTCAAGTTCACATTGATCTGTATGGGGATCTAAATGAGACAATAATGATACATTCCATGTAATTTCTTTTTCCAACTTCTTAATTCCTCCCCCCTAGTGTTGGAAAGTTTGTCTCATTAAAATGACAATCAGCAAATTGTGCAGTAAATACATCACCTGTCAAGGATCCAAGATATTTAATAATTGATGGGGAATCAAATTCAACGTATATTCCTAGCCTCCTCTGAGGACGTTGTGGTGGAGCAATTGGAGCATATATTGCACATCCAAAAATTCTCAGATGAGAAATATCTGGCTCTTGGCCATAAGCTAATTGTAACGAGGAATATTTATGATAGGTTGTTGGCCTAATGCATGCAAGAAATAACATAAACCTATACAGATGTAGGAAGCTTTGCTCTCATAAGTAATGGTCTAGCAATTCACTGCAATCGCTTTATAAATGATTTTGCTAAACCATTTTGTGTATGAATATGAGTCACAGGATGGTCAACACTTATATCAATTGCCATGCAATAATTATTAAATGATTGGACTGTAAATTCACCAGTTTTATCAAGACGAATGCTTTTAATTTTATAATTAGGGAACTATGCTCTTAACTTAATTATCTAAGCAAGCAATCTTGCAAATGCAAGATTTCAACTTGATAATAAGTACACATGTGACCATCTACTAGATGCGTCAATTAACACCATAAAATATCTAAATAGTTTACTTGATGGATTAATAGGTCCACATATATCACGCTGAATTCTTTCTAAAAATGCAGGTGATTCAGTCCCCCACTTTAACCAGTGATGGTCTAATGATTAATTTGCCTTCAGAGCAAGCAACACATGATAATTCATTAGATTGAAGAATCTGAAGAATCTTCTAGTTCTTCATGGATATCCATGTAAATTCTCAATAATTCTTTAAATCATTATAGATCTAGGATGACCCAACCGGTCATGTCAAATAATAAATATATCTGGATTCATGAACGTCGGGTTCATTGTTGCATGTGTTTCAATTACTCGTATATAAGTATAATATAATCTAGAAGATAAATCAGACAGCTTTTCCAATTTACGTTTCTCATGTGAGACATTAGATATCATATAGAGATATTATATATTATTCTTGTTATCAGTCTTAATATGATAACCATTGTGACGTATATCTTTAAAACTCAGTAGATTTCTCTTTGATTTACTAGAGAACAATGCATTTCAATTGCAAATTTGTTCCTCTAGGCAAAATAATATTTGCTTTTCCAAAACTTTCAATCAAGCTCGCAGAACCTGATATTGTATTGATTTTTGCTTCCAGCATTATCAATTTGGAAAAAATATTTTCTACTTTTCAATATTGTGTGCGTAGTTGTACTATCTGCTAGACATATATCTTCATTGCTCATTTTTTAGTCATCCAACATATGAAACTGTACATGGTTCTTCATTAAACAAAATAATTACGATAAGAAAATGAAAAAAAAAAAAAACTTGAAATACACAAAATTTGACACATAAACTAGAATATTACATTTAGTTGTAGAAAAATGAAGCAATGATGGTGAATTGATAACCAAATTATAGAAAGAAAATCAAAGTTTTAAATTATTTCAATTCGTCCTACGCCACAATTCTTGGCACAATTGTTCCTTTAAAATACCCTCAAACATATGGAAAAATTATTGCTCTCATCCTACATGTTCCACCATACCGGATGAATAAACTCATTTAGCTGTCTATCCTAATCCAACGGTAAATAAACAACAATTAGTAAACATGAGCAATGAGTTGAAATGGGACATTCTCTCATTCTCGATATGAATAATTCTCGGTGCAATCACAATATGCTCTTGCTCTCAGAAATATAACGATTTCTCTCTCGATAAAAACTCAATACCAGCATCGATACTTTTCTCGATATTGACATGGTAAGTGATATTGTGGCGCACTACACCTTCACTTATATTACCACCCTCAGAAAAATAGGACAAAAACAAAAACAACATACATCCCTAATGTTAAATATTTATATTGTTGGATGTTATGCTAGAACGACCATTGAATGTAATGATGTCATACTACGTAATTAATCAAAGTCGAGTTGTATGAAGATAGACA